TTTTCTGCAGCTATGGGGCATATATGGTATCACTCTTGGCTGGAAGCAGTGCTTAAACAATGGAAAAAACACAAACTTTATCCAAAAACCTCTCGTTTAACTGTTTCCCTCTTTTTCTTTGGTCATTTTAGCCTTTTTGGCCAGGGTGAAGGGAGCATCTGCCATCAAACAAGAAGACAGCTGCATGTAGCTATGATGATGATGTTTGCTAGTTCACCTTACATGCATTAATGTAATAACGTGGTTAGCCTCACGTTACTCACGCAGAGAAGAACGGTTGCTGCTGCCATCATCATCCATCATCATTTCTGCTACACTGGCAAGGCTAGGGGTCAGGACTCTCCTCTTCGTGTTTTTGGGGATGTTGCTAACTCCGCGTCTGATAACAGGCACCACACCCGCAGTAGATGCACTCTGTGTGAGGTCTCGCAGCAAGCTATCAAATACAGCGCATTTCTTGGCTTTAAAAAAAAAAAACGCTATGCGTCGCCAGGTGTTTCATCGGATTTGAGGTGTTACCTCCTTTGACAGTATCACAGTATCAGCTTAAAGCACTTGTTGCAGGCTGCTGAGTTTGCATATTTTGCTGTGAAGTACAGCCAGACTTTTGACCGCTTCGCCTAGGGCATTTTTAATCTGTAGCTCTGCTCTAAAAGAACGTACGTACCTGGACCCGCCTACTATCCTCAGAAACGTAAAATGATTGGCTAGAAGTGTATCACAGCTCAGGACCTTCTTGCTGTGCCACCGTGCTTAGATATTATTAACATACAAATGCAGTAGTATTCTGGTATATAACCAAAGATCATTAACGCAGAGAGTGTTTGTAGCAAACCAAAGGCTTGGAAAGATTAATGATTTATTATCCATTTTCCTAACAAAATATAAAGAAATACATACTTATAGAACTTTAATAAACATAAAAAAGGCATGTCTCAAGACCTTTTCACTATCCTCTCCAAACAGCAACGGTGCAAAGGAAGATGCAACACTAGGTGCTTGGATAACATAAGATGTTCAACACATCACTGAAGAAACATTTTTCTCAAAGCCAAATGTACCCCAGATGATGTCTAAGCTACAGCACGCTAGCAGGCTATTCTTTCAAAGCTTTGTAAATACTCTGATAAATAACATCTAACATGTTTTGAATCACATAATACAGCATCCGACTTTAAATACTAAGTACTGTCATGTATTTTAGACACAGGCTACAAATGTCACCAAAAAAGAATAAATAACTGAAAAGCTCCAATGAACTGCTGCCTACTCTGTAGTTTACACAGTGTTCATCTTGCCCTCAAAGAGACTAAAATCTCATCCAAAGCTTTTTAGATGTCAACTCTATCTGTCCAAGTGAAGTAACCCAGAGGGATCAGCTTCAGAGGGACATATTGGAAAGATGTTCTCCAAAATTAGCTGTCAGTAGAAGAGACATTCAGAGAACAGAGCTGACGATGTGATGTGAACAGAGGTGGGTAGTAATGAGTTACATTTACTCCGTTACATTTACTTGAGTAAGTTTTTGAAAAACATTTATTTTTAAAGTATATCTCCAAAAGTTGATTCTGTTCATCTGGACGTAGCGTTTTGTGGGAGAAACGTTTTCTCACTCATCCCAATAACTTCTTCAGTCTCAGCTGACTGCAGTTTTCCCCAATCTTATAAACAGTACATTTGCATAATGACTGAAACAAGCCCAGAGAAGGAACAATGAGCTGGGAGGTCAGTTCCTTAATCTTAATTATGCAAATTCTCATGACCATAGAGATGGCACGATACCACTTTTTTATGTCCGATACCGATATCATAAATTTGGGTATCTGCCGATACCGATATGAATCCGATATAGTGTTTTTTAATCAATAAAACTGTTTTTTAAATATCTTGCTGCATTTTGTATAAGTTCATACTCAAGTTTAAAAAACAACAACACTAAAGCTATTCTGTTATACCTGTATGCAAAAAAAAATATTTCATAGTTCAGCAATACTGATCAATCTAATAAACATAAACCTACACCATCCTCCCTATTCTGGTATTTTAAAGAGTACTTAGCGTAAATATTAAGCAACCTAACTTCCAGCAAAAAAAATAAAAAATAAAAAATAGGGAACCACTCCTCACGCGCCACCTCATGATGCTTAATCGACATAATCAACCTTAATTTGATGCAGTGTGAAAAGAAAATACACAGAAATCAATTATTTTTCAAGAAATATTAAATAGATTCAACATCTTTCTTTAACAGAACTGCAGACTGCACAGATGGTACCTTCCCAAAGGAAAAAGTACTATAGCTTACTAGGGTATATATTAGACATAATAGTTACTATATACAGTAATGGACTTCTATTCATTTTAGATCAAATTAAAACTTTGGGTGTCAGATAATTATTTAATAAAAGCTAGACTTTTTAAATGAGAATAAGAAAGAAAAGTATTTCTTTGTGCCCCCCTTTTCCCTGTTAATGCCTTACCTGCCCCCCTGGCTAAACTTTGCTAGATCCGCCCCTGCACAGTTACCAGCCGTCAGCTACGTAGAAAAGGATCCTGGTGTAGAAAGTAATATTAAATAAATTCTAACAACAGCTTAAAACAAACAAGAGAGACGGAGTCGCGACAGAAAAGCCGATCAGCTGATCATTAAGCAGTTTCATGATTGAAGTAGCAGCAGGAGAGGGAGGGACAGAGAAGACGCAGTCGCTCCATAAATCGGTTGTTAAGCTTAACGTGGGAATGCTTTACAAACATTCAGAAATGGACTTACACACTTGCTTTACTTCTCTCGGGGATAACTTTGTCGGAGATGAAATGCCGGCTCCAAATGCTGAACCATACCACCGACAGGTCTCGCACGCCACAGCCGCTCTATCACGTGATGCATACTGCTCCGATGTGCTAAGGTTATGAGGCGAGTTACGGCATGTCACAAGTTTTGTGAAGTGCTTTTGTGATATTTAATGGATCGGATTACATTTTTTATTTCTCTCCGATATCTGATCCAGTAATTTAGGTCAGTATCGGACCGATACCGATACGTAATATCGGATTGGTCCATCTCTACCATTGATCAACAACCACTGACCAAAACCCACTGATCAAAGACCACTGATCAATGGCCATGAGTACCATTCACAGAGAGTTGAGGAATGGCTGCAATCACAGCATTGTAAGATGGCGAAAGATGTACCCTTAGGCCCCCTCCTCGATTCAAAAATGGTCTTTCCCTTTTCACGTAAATGGCCTCCTTGACTCCGCGCTCAAACCAGCGTTCCTCACTGTCCAAGATATGTACATCCTCATCCTTGAAAGAGTGTCCGCTGGCCTGTAGGTGTAAATAGACTGCAGAGTCCTGGCCTGACGAGGTAGCTCTTCCGTGTTGTGCCATCCTCTTAGCCAGAGGTTGTTTGGTTTCCCCGATGTATAAATCCTGGCAATCCTCTTGGCACTTAACAGCGTACACTATGTTACTCTGTTTGTGTCAGGGGACCCCATCGTTGGGGTTGACCAATTTTTGGCGCAGCGTTTTTAAAAGCCACAGAGACCTGGTGTTTAGAAAAAATGCGTCTCAACTGTTTATAAGATTGGGGAAAACTGCAGTCAGCTGAGACTGAAGAAGTCACTTGGATGAGTGACGAAACGTTTCTCCCACAAAATGTTTCTCCCACAAAACGCTACGTCCAGATGAACAATTTCAACTTTTGGAGAGGTACTTTTACTCGGCAATATTTGGCAAAATTTGACTCATTACTTTGTTTTAAATAATCAGTTTAATAATTAATAATAATAATGGATACTTTATTGATCCCCATGGGGAAATTACTTGTTTTTCTCTGCATTTGACCCATTCACTCAGTGAAGCAGTGGGCAGCCCACTAAGCAGGCGCCCGGGGAGCAGTGTGTAGGGACGGTACCTTGCTCAGGGATACCTCAGGGTAGCCGTTAAGTGGATTCGAACCGCCGACCTTCCGATCATGGGGCGACCACTTTACCTACTGAGCTATCCCTGCCCCAATTACATAATACTGCTAATAATGGATCATTCTGCCAGTGGAGTTTCTTGTAACTCCTTTACCAATCAGATGCAGTCACATGACCAGTTTGAAACTGTGGCGGACAGAGCGGCCCAAGTGTTTTAAAGTAGCGTGTAGATACATGGAAAGAAGAAACACATGAAAACATGGCAGAGTCAACTGTCTCCGCTAGAACTGAAGAGGATGAACACCAAGGGTGTTCATCCTCTTCAGTTGGATGAACACCATCCAACTGAAGAGTTGGATTGTTTTGTATCAAAACAATACAAAGATTGTTTCACTTAAAAGCAGTACAAAAGAACAGCTATATTTTCAGTGTTGGTTTCTACAGTGTGAGCCAAAGCAAACAGACTTTTCAGCGTGAAAAAACTCAACTCATGTAACCTGTGGAAACGTGTCGCAGTAAGTTTACTCTAAATATATTTTTAGCTTTGGTTAGTTTGATATCAGTCTTATGTTACATGTTATGTTCTAATGTTTTCTCTGAGGCTGCTGTGCCATTTAGAGCAAAAATGAATATAAAGTTTACAGCATATCTCGTCACTGGAAATGGTTTGCACTGTTTATATATTTATATTATTTACTGTAGATATTGGTTAAAAAGGCTTTATGTTGTGAAAAACTGAAATCTGGAAATTAGAATTGTACATATACATATATTCTATTTGAAAATACTAACATTTGTATATTTATTTATTTATGTTTGTCTGATAGCATTTATTTAAAAAATACATTTTCACCAATTACTTTTTTACTCTTATTTGGGCAATTTTTTTGACAACTACTTTTCACTTTTACTTGAGTAATAATATTTTACTATTTTATTTTACTTAAGTACAATTTTTGGATACTCAACCCACCTCTGGATGTGAAGATGTGAAGACAGCAACATTACAGATATCCTCAGTGAAAACAGGGCAGGGGGGCAGTAGACTGTCTGTCCTCGACATTAATTAGGCCTACCTGTGGGTTGTCCTCCATTACACAGCGGATCTTTTCCACCACATCGATGCGGCGCTGCCGGTGCAGGGCGTTGATCAGCTTGGCCAGGTTGGCATCGCTGTCCCGGATCGTCCAGTGCTGCAGCGCAGCATACGCCCTCTCATGATCAGAAGAGTAGCCGTTGGAGAAGGCAGCCACCTCACGCTCTGTGACATTAGCCAGCGACTGATAGATGTCGATCCACTGCGTGCCCACCTGGGCTGCCACGAGCTTCAGGATATCCACTCCTAAAACACCAAAAGATGGAGAAAAAACAGTTAGAGAACACATGTGATCATTTGTTCAGGAACTAATGGGTTATTCAAAGAGAAAAACCTTATTAGTTAGTGGGGAGAGGTAAATTGATTGCACTAATCACCAATCTTTTTTTTTTCGTAAGATTTATTTTCATTTTTAAATTTGAAAAACAAAAAAAAAAAAAAACCAAAAACAAAAAGCTCACAATTATGACACAAAGCAAATATCTACAACTCACTACAACATGGCAAGTTATTGTGACTACAGGAACACTCTTAAGTGTATATTCTTGTTTTCATGCCATTCAAGGATAATTCCAAAAATCTGAAAACCAAACACAAAAAGTAATAACATAATAATAATAATAATAACATAACAATATTGGTAATTACAAGAAAGAATTAGGAGACAGTATGCAAGACAAAAGAGAACAAATAAAATCAGCAAAACAAAAAGTATAGAACACATTATACGAACTTTTCCCACCCTCCCCCCATCCCTCTAACCTTGTATGGCTCTCAATCTCCTTACATTCCTATATCTAGACAGTTTATATTCACACTTATTTATAGAAACTCTTGTGTTCAGGAATCAACGCACTTCACGGTAAAACCACATCAATCAGGAAGTCAAGCCAGGAAAGCTGAACCGGGGATCAATTTAAAACAGACCCAGGGGGGTTCAGGATCAGAAAGACTTTATTTATCCCCAAGGGGCAATTAAGAATTTTGAGTCACCACTATAATCTGTCAAGTCCAGAGACGGTAGTACTGCCAACAAGGGGCCCCAGATTTTTTCAAAGGTTTCATACTTCCCTTTTACACTACGATATCTTCTCAGGTGTGCAGTAGGACACTATGTCTGTGAAGGTTCTCAGTCATCCAGGTCATCGTAGTCAAAGGAGGACACTAGCTCATTAATCCAGTGTCTCAGTGTTGGAGGATTTTCAGATTTCCAATATAGCAGAATACATCTTTTCAACGCTGTACTCGCAAGTAAAATAAAATATTTCTTCTAGTAATTCACATTAATAGAAGCTGTGTCACCTAGAATCCATAGTTTTGGGTACAGTTCAATTGGGATTCCCATTACCCTTGAGATTATTACAATGGCGCGTCTCCAAAATTGTTCTATCACTGGGCAATTCCACAGCATGTATATCTGGAGGGAATAATTACTCAATTTTATGTAGTCTGTAAGGGGTGTAATATATCCTATGAAATATGTTAAATTGCATTTGCCTGTGTCTTATAGAGATTAACATGGTCTGTGCCTGTTCCAATAAGTGGTGCCATTCTACCTCTTCATAAACATAGCCCAGGTCTGTTTCCCATTTTCTTTTTATGGATGCTTTGTTGTGATCAGGTAACTTTTCACTGATAATAGCATATATAGAAGATGCTATTCCTTTTATTGACTTGCACGGTTTGGTGCAAAGATGGGTTTCAAGAGAGGTTTGTTTTGGTATCTCGGGGAATGCCCCTTTGGATTTCTCTTTGAAGAAACTTTGTCTTGGAAGTTTAAATTTTTCTTTTAGTTGTTGAAAGTCAATAAATGTATCATTATTTTATAAGTCAGCAACACTATTGAACGCTGTTCAATACTGAAGAAATTTAAACTTCTTAAAATTATGCAAAATTGCAGAATATTGCAGAATATTTTTAAGGTTTAACGGGGCGATCGTGGCTCAAGAGTTGGGAGTTCGCCTTGTATTCGGAAGGTTGCTGGTTCGAGCCCCGGCTTGGACAGTCTTGGTCGTTGTGTCCTTGGACAAGACACTTCACCCGTTGCCTACTGGTGGTGGTCAGAGGGCCCGGTGGCGCCAGTGTCCGGCAGCCTCGCCTCTGTCAGTGCGCCCCAGGGTGGCTGTGGCTACAATGTAGCTTGCCATCACCAGTGTGTGAATGTGTGTGTGAATGGGTGGATGACTGGATGTGTAAAGCGCTTTGGGGTCCTTAGGGACTAGTAAAGCGCTATATAAATACAGGCCATTTACCAGGCCAAGGTTATCTGCTATGAAAAGCCAGACCAGGAAAATCTCCTTCATGTTTTTCTGTGTTTTATTCTCAGTTACTTTCACAATTCTGATGAAATCTCATGTGTATCAGTACTGATAAATGATCAGAATTATAATATTTCTGACTGTCTGAGGCTAAATTGAATCAAATCAGGACTTTGAGAACCGGAATCGAATGGATTATAGAAATCAGCGATGATACCCAGCCCTACTGAGCAGCCTAGGCCTGAGAGAAGTGGATGTAGCTGCGGGTAATAAGAAAAGATGAAAAGAACTATTGATAACTTTTTTGTTAAGTTAAGGCCTGATCTGCCTGAAATTCATAGCCAGTGCTCTGACACGGTGCCATCAATCTTTGAATGCTGAAAAAGCACAGTGTATCCAGGAAACACATATGATGCAATAAATGCACTGCCCAAGTGTCCCCTCTCCCCACTGCCTTTCAGCAACAGACAGCAGCAAACAGGTCGTCAGAGGAGGCCAAGATGATGATTAAGTTTAACATTTTCTACAATATTGACAAAGCACTTTAAGCACAAGTTTGTTAGTTAATAATTTAGAAATGAATATTGTCTGTATGGACTCCCCCCCCAAAGAAAGTGCACATGTAAAACTGCGGTGTTAAGCGATGCGGTTGAAAAATTTGAGTGCACATAACTTTTGTGCCGGTATGCCTACATTTCTGAAGTTAGGCATACCGGTGCGCCCATGTCAAAAAGTTAGTCTAGAGCCCTGACAGCTGTCTGCCGGCAGAGCCCGCAGGCACGTCACTGCAACCCCCTCTGGCCTCTGCTCTGTGGCTGCTGGGTGACCTCTCATTCAGGGCTCTCCTCAGCTCTTCCTAAGAGGGTGGTTCGGTTGACCCCCTGCTGATCCTCCTTGGGTCCTCGTATTCTGGGGCCTCTGGATGTCTGGGAATGATCTCCTCCATACCTGCTTCATGCCCTGGGGGACGGGGCTATGGCTTCCCACACTTCCTAGCAGATTGTTACATGGAGAAACCTTTTGAATACAAGCGTGCTGATCCACACAGGTGTGCACCTGTGTGCACACCCGAGGTGTACACACGGGTGTTCAAAGACACAAACTACACCTGTCTTGGCTGCTACCTCAAAGCACATTGTGCGCTGTCGATCACATGTATAATAACATGTAATATTCAGTATCTACTGTTAGCTAGTTTTGTGATTGTGATGGTGTTGTATTTATTATGTTGCTCTTTTTTGTTTGTTTTCTCTTCTGTTTTTTCTTATCTCAATACAGGTGATCCAGGTGTTTTGTTTGTTTTTTTCTTTTTCTTCCCCCTTTACTCGCCATTTCTTCTCCCCTCTATTTTTCGTTCTCTCCCTCTCTTTCTGTCATTCTTTCTCCCTGTCCTATCCTCCAGTCATGTCTGTTTGACGGGACGTCTGTAACAACCGAAAATCCAATCAGATAAATACATAATTATAATAAAGGTCAATCAAATGGACCAATATGGCAAGGCCATGATGATCCAATTGGTAAAGTAAATCCGCTTGGCATCTTTCTTGGCCTACAGACAACAATTTTGATGGCTAAAGATCCAAACGGGACAGGCAAAAAAAAAAGAAAAAAAAGTGCCTGACATCACATTATTTGTTATGATATTGTCACGGCTAGCAGGGCAAGCCGTGTGAGTTTTAATAGATGACCCAAGATGCAGGCAGCTTCAGATGCGAGTGAGCTTTGTTAAAAAGGATGGACATACAAACTGGAATATAGCAGGCACAAAACAAAACCTAAGAGAACCTAAACTGGGAAAACTAACAAAACTAACCTGAAACCAGAACAGAGACAACAGAGGTAGACTTGGGGAAGCAACACAGAATGAAGCAGGGAGGTGACGGAGGGAGATAACGCAGACAAACCAGCAACAGGCAGGAGAACACACAGGGCTTAAATACTCACAGGCGTAATCGTGGGATGGGAGACAGGAGGAGAACACACCTGGGAGAAATCAAGGCTGACGAGACACAGACGTAAGGCTGAGAACACTCACACGAGATAGAGACCTTCAGAATAAAACAGGAAACTCACAGACACAGAACCAGACAAGACACTGAACTTAACAGACAGATTCACAAGCAGACACTGTGACACCATGCACAGACAGAGGGAACACAGCAGTGGGAGCAGGCAGGCACAGAACAGAAACCTAACAAATGGCAAACCTTAACAAAAGACATAACCAGAATAAGCAAGAACATAGAATAATATAAGGAAACACAAAACACTGAGTCGTCAGACTCAGGAACATGGCAGATATTATACCGGGTAAACTTCTCTCCAAAGCCCATAGCCTCCAACATTTGAAATAGAAAGTTTGGCTCAATCCTGTCAAATGCTTTATTTGCATCCATAGAAATTATTAGCAGGGGGTTTTGATTTTTTTGAGCAGTATTCAATATATGGCGCAAACGTCGTACATTATCTGCTCCATGCCTGTTTTTCATGAAGCCTGTTTGGTCAGTGTGTATTATCTTAGGCATGTCTTCCAATCCAATGTTGTGATTTCCAATCTGTCAGGCTCAGGAGAGACTCGGAGGCAGACTGTCACTTAAGTTCACAATTTATTTACACACAGACACCAGGTGCGGATATATACAGGTGAGGGGGCACAGGAAGAGGGTCTCCGGGGAACACAGGCACGGCAAGGGGGCGGGCTATGTACACAATCCTTCACTGAAGCTCAGGTAGCTCGGACTCCGGCTTTTAGCTCACCAAACGGTGGTCCTCAGGCTGGCGAGAAATGAGTGTTACACAATAATCCAGTGAAGAAGCACTCTCAGCAGCCGCCTTAAGAAGTGAATGAGATGAGACGATTGTTTGCAGGTGTCCGAGCTAGGGGCTGGAGCCGTCATGACTCCGCCCCGGTAAAGCGCAGTGCGCAGGAGGGGAGAGAGAGAGACGCAGCACAACAAAAACACTTGTAGCCATACAGAGTCAGCCGAG